GAAGATTGAGAAGTTGAAGATCACACAGATTGACTTCGTGCAGCTTCTCCGCCACGCAAGGTTTACAGGGAGATCAACCACCGAGTTGGCTGATTGTGAGAGCAGTAGGAGCAAGGAAGCAAGACTCCAAAATGCAGTATTTGGATGATGTTGGAAAGCTCGTGATGCTTGGCTGAATTTGACTTTGCAGCTCCATACTATGCCTGTAGTGCTTGTGAATGTCACGAGTTTACTTATATGCATGTGACAGTGACAGATATAATGAAAATTACAAAAGATGTTGAATGTGGGTAAATAATATATAAAAGATAATATAATTAGTCTAATCTAATCTCAATCTTCTCTTTATGTCTGACTAATAGGGTAAAAGTTGGATTAGTCCAATGGGTAACAGCCTTCCAAAACTTGTTTACTCAACCGTGTAATTAGGGTTTTTTCAAGTGTCTAACTAATGGGTTCTCTGACCAATGGGAGGACACCGGCATTTCCCATTTTACATCAGTGTTGGTCTGATACTGGGATGTTCCCATGACTGAAATTCTAGAAGAAAGCAAAGATCAAGTCATTGGTATACCGAAGTTGTTGGTAATCATTTCACTGATGCCGATTGGTTGGAAAAATTTAGAATGCGACGAGAAACATATGAATTTATCTGCATTCGACTGAAAGATGAGCTCTCTCCCTTTGATAATTGGATTTAAAGACAAGGGTTGCTAAAAAAATACTCACCCTCAGTAAATTTGCTATGCGTTCATAAGACCACATTTGCTTAGGGTAGCAAAAATAAGCATTTACTCACCGGTAGTAAAACATTTGCACCTGGTCCAGGCCAGAAGTATTTTTGCTTGGGGTTGTAAAATTTGCATATGTGTAATTGCGATTATACGCCCAAATATACTCACGTAAGCAAATTTACACATATGCAAAAAATACACAATGTGCAAATGTCGCCGTATAACAGGGCTTTAGAAAGCCTTAGACTATATCCTCTCTGTGACGTACCCTAACCAACATGCTTAACGTATCTTACTATATGTTAACGTATTTGAAGTAATTTAGTGTTATATTCATGTCTTTGTTAGATCATGATGATGATCTCTTTGTCCTATGTTTTGGTGAAACAATGGTTCTATATGGTTACATTGTTCAGTCGCATTACAATGTTAATCATTGTTTGAGTAAATATTGTGTTAAGGTATTATTCGACAATGAATTTTGAGGTGTTTTAAAGTGTTTTAAACAATGAGAAATGTCCATCAGATACGTTAAACATGCATCTTGTCTCAGTGTCGCAGGTGTAATATTCTCATAATAAGTATTTTGTTCCATATAGTTGTGTTATCTCATAGAACCATCTTTGAAGGCATTTTCAATAATACAATAATGCAATACAATGCCAATGAAAAGTACATCAGATACGTTAACTTTTGAATCAATTTTATATTTTCATGTTCCTGAAATCCGCTCCTTAGAAGCAGTGATTTTACTTACTCCACCATTAAGAGAATACCTCCCACTATTTTTGCATCAAAATCGCACCTCAATTCTGAGGACAGTCAAGTTGTGATATAAAACGACAAATACCTAAAACAGTCTAATTTGGTCTGAAATTTTATGTCTTCTTCATATTTACCGTTCAACACGAACTCTTTCAATCCTAGACATGATGTGTGATGAAATATGGTGAACACCACATTCACAAACTCAACACCAATGCTTAAAAGAAGGTATTGTTTACATTTTCAAAGCAGTATGTTTTCTTAATTTATGTACCGTGTTAACGTATCTGATTTTCTGAAATTTGATATACACTATTTAAGGCATTGCTTAAAATAATCTAAGTCAGATTTGGGTCATCAAGTTATCGTTCCAGATATCTCGTGTCTTCTTCTAGACAAAAAGTTATAAAGTGAATAATATCCGAAAGAAATTTTTTGAAAAGTTACAAATCCAAAATCGTCCCACTTAGTGGAGAATGGGTGGACAATCATTAGAACAACCTGGTACCCAATGCTGGAACTAGTCTGTTCAGGCCCTGAAACATTATATTCGCTTCCACTCTGCCGTTTATGTAATAAAAGGCACGGTGGGGGAACAGAGTGTTAAAGCGTTCGCTCGTGGTGAAGAAGACCTGGGTGGATTCCCTACATGGGTACAATATGTGAAGTACCCATGAAGCCAAAGACCATGATCAATATTATCGTCATTTCGCATGAACATGCATCCTCTTGACTTGTCGTCCTTTACACTACCACCGGAGACGTAGGCGACACCCAGATAGTGCCTTTAAAACATGTGGACATCGAACAGGGAATGCTCCAAGGAAATATACTCATAGAAATGAATAAGAGAACACGCGTAAGTACAAGTGTTCCTATATTTATTTCCAGAATTTCACTCCCAGTGCAATACATACCTTGAAAAGAAACCTCTAAAAGAATAAAGGAACACTTGTACTTTCATGTGTTCCCCATTAGTTTCCATATATGCAGGTTTACAATAAAGAAGAAGTTGACATCAATAATATTTTGAATACAAACTTCCATATGCCTCTAAAGAACCTCGAAGATGAGGAAACTTCCCTTGTTTCAAACCTACAAACTCAGCCATATGTAAGTGTGTGCTTTAGTCATACAGCAAAGTAGTCGTCGACCCCTGATATTGAGTGCCAGTACCGTTTTCTCAAGAAATGCTAAGCTAAAATGATTCTGGTTCCACAGATAAGGTCATAATCGGTCAAAGACCTTGTTCTTCCATTCAATAAGCAGTTGCTTTTCCTAAGTAAATATGGAAACAGTTCAACACAGGACATGATGGACAGTTGTATCGTGAGCCATATCTGAACAAGGACCAACGGTCTGCTGAAGTCAGTGAGAATGTCTTCGGTGGTAGTTACGGTCTGCTGAAGTCAGTGAGAGTGTCTTCGGTGGTAGTTACGGTCTGCTGAAGTCAGTGAGAATGTGTTCGGTGGTAGTTACGGTCTGCTGAAGTCAGTGAGAATGTGTTCGGTGGTAGTTACGGTCTGCTGAAGTCAGTGAGAATGTCTTCGGGGGTAGTTACGGTCTGCTGAAGTCAGTGAGAATATCTTCGGTGGTATTTACGGTCTGCTGATGTCAATGAGAATGTGTTCGGTGGTATTTACGGTCTGCTGAAGTCAGTGAGAATATCTTCGGTGGTATTTACGGTCTGCTGAAGTCAGTGAGAATGTGTTCGGTGGTATTTACGGTCTGCTGAAGTCAGTGAGAATATCTTTGGTGGTATTTACGGTCTGCTGAAGTCAGTGAGAATGTCTTTGGTGGTATTTACGGTCTGCTGAAGTCAGTGAGAATATCTTCGGTGGTATTTACGGTCTGCTGAAGTCAGTGAGATTATCTTCGGTGGTATTTAGATGCCAGTGACGCCTATATCATTCTTAGCAACAAGGATATTGAAAGTGTGCAGGTAACCAAGATGTCGCCCTCGTATGATCATGTTGTGAAGTCCTCTTCCATGAAGAATCTCAGATTCACTGATGAGCAGAATGTATGAAATTGGCTGTATCTGTTCTGAGGACAATCCATGGATGAAAATAGATAGTACCTGTTCCAGATGAAAACTTCGATGTACAACGTTCCTAATTATGAACAAGGGAACTTTTGTGCGACAGCCGTGTGATGGAGTGGACGCTGAAGTACACCATCCCGGTATTTGGGCCCAGAGAGGTGGAAGTAGCGTGCAGTTCAAGTGAGCTGTGTTTAACATTGTCTTCATGTCACTACACACTTTTCGTCCATCATGAAACTTACATAAAGACAATCCATTTGCAACACAGAATATATCTCTCGTAAACACATTTTGAAAATCCTCCCATTCTTGATGAATACACTTGGGGCAGATGGTCCATAATTGATCAAATGATTATGACAGACCAAATGTTGTTGCAGTGGATGAGGGAAACTTGCCAGAAATAAATTGTTTGATTTGCATTTCAGAAGTTGCTGAGTTGAGCAATGTTTCTATGTAATAAATAAGAAGTTATTGTCCCTAAAGTTGTTTGCTTCATTACAGAATTAAACTGATTAAAAGAAGTATCAGTGATGTCCATTAAAACTATAGTTTGCAGATGACTCACATCTAAAATGATATCCAAACTCAAGAAACAGATTTACCCAATACTGATGGTAAATTCACAAACATGAACTCCATTGAACTCTTCAAACACAGTATGTTGCATTAAATCCACACCTGGATATCATCCAATCACAATTGGTTGGATAAAGTCATGTGACTATAACCTTCTAGTGGTTGGGTTATCCGGGGTAATAAGAAACAGATTCTGATTAAGCGCCACGAGCAATCACTTGGTGTTTGGAGACGATGACTTATTATTATTATTATTTTTTATCAGAGGTGAACTCCTAGAAACATAAAAAGGAATCTTAAGAGTAAGACCATCAAAGTAACCAAACCATCCAGGCTGCCCTTACGCATTCAGAATATATTCAGATGTTTGATCCAAGCATGTGATATTTCTGTCCAACAATCAAATTTCAACTTTCTAAATCTGTCTTTTTTTTTTCCAGCTCAATACAATAATTTCAGGAGGTTGTACCCTCCATTGGACTTATCCTTCAATCACATGAATGTACAAGTATGAGTACATAATCAAATTAGAATTGGTCTTCAGTAACCCATGCTTGTCATGAGAGGCGACTAACAGGATTGGGTGGTCAGGGTCACTGGCTTGGTTGACACATGTCATCATATCCCAATTGTGTAGGTCGATACTCATGATGTTGATCCCTGGATTGTCAGGTCCATCGATTATTGACAGACCTCCGCCATATAGCTGGAATATTGCTGAGTGCAGCGTTAAACAACAACCAAACCAACATAATCAAATCTTGGCCAGGCAAACCAGACATTGCTAGCAACAGGTGAGAGGACCTGTTCTCTATAACTACTGTTAGTCTCTTGCAAGTAACAATGAAAATATAATGAGAAATAACAAACTCATCTCATCCTTGAATGGGTCACCCCACTGTATAAATAGCTTTATTACTGTCAACGACATTATGAATGTCGTCATATCGTGGCAACCACAATGAAATATTTTGATGTTAAGCATGAGAAAAACTATCTCGGTTCTCAGGTCAAATGCATCAGCAAAAGCACCCACATGAAAGTCATCATTGTGTTTTGTGACATACATATAGAACTAGCAGTATGATTGCAGCATTTATCAAGGACTTACATGAGCAACACACTGTTCTTATTTCTTTAGCCTACTCTTGGACACAGATTTACCTGGTTAGTGGAAAAATAAAGAACAAGAACACCTGCAGTCAGCTCTGAATAAATATTTTGTTGCTGATTTATTCATACATGTTTGCATTTCCTAACATCAACAAATAATAATATCTCCATTACAGATTACAGAGCTTCAGTGACTTGACAAGAAACGCTGACAAACACTCGCAGATTTCTCTTAGTACTGACTTAGCTCTATTAATCCTTGACAGCAACCATTCATATCCTGAACCCCTCACATCGCACTCATGCACGTACGCACGCACACACTGAGGAAGCCTTCAGCTAAATGAAAATCTCATCCCTAGGAAAGATATAAGTTTGGCCTAGCTGGTCAGTTGTGAGTGTGGATCTGTGCATGTATTGTTTCATTAGGATACAGTTGACAAGGATACTGTCAGAGACAATCGTTGTTGGATGACAGTCAGTGGATGTGTGTATCTTTCTTGTTTAACAGTCTTCAGCTATATTCCAGCTATACAATGGCATTTGGGCACAAGCACAGACACTCCGTCGTGCCAATTCTTAAAAGCATGTTAATACAATTAGATGTGTAATGAGAAGAAGAAACTCGGGCATAAACATCTCACATACACATGAAACAAATAAAAAAGATTTCTAAGTAATTTTAACAAATTCATCTATTCTTCATTTGGGCTATAAGACTTTATACTTTTTATTCATTTTAAGTTCTATGAAATGTTTCTGGTAGTGAACTTCTTTGCTATCACAAAGAAGATGGTTCCTCCGCGTGACTTTGACACAGCTCACAAAGACATCACAGGATTAACACGATTTTAGTTGTAATCATTCATATTTGAGTCCACTTATTGGACAAGATATACAGCTTGATTGACATCATGATACGACAGACACTGAAACAGATAACCAGTACTTTCTCCTTTATTTAATAGGTGATAACTTTAGAGATTTACAAGTGACTTTTCCAAGCTTTGTCATCAAAGGGCTACCCTGCCATTCTGCCACAGAAGATCCACTTGTTAAGAAGTCCGGCTGAAGTACAAAAAGAAATGAAATCATATCCTACAAACAAGGTAACAAAGGAATAATGCGTAACCATAACATTGTTGACCTCTTAACTGTGATGTCTGCTTGTACTTGTGACGTCTGCTTGTAAGTGTGACGTCTGCTTGTGTAAATTAAATACTTTAATATTTTCTAAAGCTGTTTTCTTGTCATCTGGTTTCAGTAAGATAAACTTACCTGTAATTTTTCCCACACTTTCTTTTTGGGTTTTAATTCTTCATCCGGCGTGCCCTTCTCATACCCCTCCACAAACACCCTGTCCCCTGGGGCACTGCCCTCAGGGGGGTCAAGAGGTTCCACGGCCCGGGGTTCATCCCTGAACAGAAACAGACAGATAAGCAATGTGTTTTCATGTCCGTACTGTTACATACTGGAATCAATATCCTACTGGGGTTCAAAATGAGATCATTGATCAGTTTGTAAAGCAATATAGTCAATGTCCTAATTTATAGCTAAAATGGATGGAATTATCACGAAACTGACCACTAGTTATCAGAAATGAGCGGGCCACTGCAAAAGATAATAGCCTACTGATTCCTTAACGAAAGGCCATTATCAGTTCTGTTGTCAAATGACGTCACAGCGTGTGATGTCACACATAATGACATCATAAATCTTGTCCTAACAATGTTGGGTCAACAGCCCACTGCGAGTTGTTTGCAGTATACTTACAATTAAATTTATGACACTTTTTTGTCTTTTTTTTTACACAAATTCCATCCATTTTAGCTATTATAGGGATAATGCTGTTTTTCCGAACATCATCATTTGCTGAAGTCCATGGTCTTTTCAACTGCACTCCTTCGTTGGGCAGTTAAAGCAAGATCTAGGGCTTCTGCAAATGATGATGTTCTGAAAACAGCAGTACCCCTATAATATCTACTGTTTCAGTCTTCAATATATTGATATGGCAGCAGTAGTCACACACACTTGTCCCTATAGTGTGGCAGTGTAGTACTTTTGTGTTACAGTGTTATATTTTATCTTAGTTGGTACTGCTAGTTGAAGATGTACCTGTCTTTATGTACATAATACACACCTGTAAATATTGGTTGTTTTAGATGTGGTTGCCCTCACCCACAATACAACTGAAGCATGCACCAGCAAAGCATATCAATCAATGCATGAACAAAAACCTTACAATGGCCATAGCCCTGACCTGCCTCAGTCTTTTGTCTAGCTTATGTAATCATCACAGTTTGAACTCAGTGGTTGACCTGCTAATTTAGTCACTCTCAAGCATTCGAGCAGTAAGCAGCCCCACACTACAGTGTAAAGGTTTTTAAAGGTATCTGGATACCAGCTCACCTCTGTATACTTCCACGGTTAGTACTTCATCTGTACTGTTGTATATTGTGTTTTAATGTGAATATATCTCACAGAACTCCAGATAATTTTGGAACACCAGGAGTATGTACTCCTTATTTATTCAATACAGGAGTACTGGAAAACCTTAAGACTACATTTAGAGTACTGAATGGTATTTAATGGCGCATCAGTAATCTTGTCTTTTGTTGCATATATGCACCACAACATTGCTAGTCTTGTGTAAACGGGTTAATATGCAATAAAACAATACTTGTTCAGATAAATACGTCTGTATATGATTCTAAGACCGTACACCATTGCCGTGGTGTGTATCTGCAACGTTTTATAAATTATTTCCTACCGTATTGTGAAAATTGTTTATCTGTACATACGCCGATAAGGCCCTTATCTGGAGCCCTGGTTTGACATGCATACATAGAAGTATAAAGGTGTTTTATCCCTACCATTTTCTGGCAAAGTAGAAATGATATAGTCTACTTGATATATAATCATCCCAGCACATTTATTTTATTGTATTAATGTAAACCCATGCATGTTATGCAGTGTGTGACAATGTAATCACATGTGGGTAGGTGCATGTGCATATGTATGTGTGTAAGTGTGCATGATATGAAGTAGGTATAATACAATGTACTCGGTACTACTGTAGTTAGTGTGTAATGACATGCATTAGCCATGTGTGGTGTGTATTGACTGGTATACAGATAATATTGTGGTGCTATGTATGTTTATTCACTACAGATCCTTACAGGACTGTACAGTACAAGTGACTGCTGGATCTTGCAAACCTTGGTCCACACACCTGGTAGGTGTTATATGTCTTATCTCCCATATTAGTGTATCTATAATGAGCAGGCATCCCATCCAGATAATCATCACTAGAATTCATTAGATGTATACTAAGCAGCAAAAGAAACGTCAGTTTGGAATTTTCCTTCACAGAAACGGATAACTGTAAATGTTTTGATTGTAAATTTTTGACAACATCTCCAACTTTACCTGAGCAAAGACATTCCTTCCCAAACTCAGAATGGAACCCAGGAAATGGTCTCAAAAACGCAACTTGATCTCGGAGATGGTACGGTGTTCTCCATGTTTTTCATGCAACTCATGCTGCACGTGCTGTTCACAAGGACCAGCCCTATAAAATGCACCCCCACACCTGGTTGAAACATTCACATTACAACGTCAGCATGATGCCGCGACTCACGACAGCTCAGAGGAACCAGGCGCTAGGAAGACTTGAAGCTGGCAACACTGCATAAGCCGTTGCCAATCACTTTCAGGTCAACGTTCGGACCATCTACAGGATGCAGCAACGTTTCCAGGCCACCAACACCACAAACGATCGTCCCCGTACTGGCAGACCAAGGGTGACCACAAGACGACAAGACCGCCATGTTGTGCGACAGCATGTACAGAATCCCTTCATGCAGGCATCCAAAACAGCTCGCCAGACAGTGGGAACACACGAAAGACCACTGATACAGTACGCTGACGTCTTAACAGTGGGAACCCCATCGCCGTAGACCTTAGCGTGGACCTATCATCACCCCTTGTCATCGGCGTGAACGTCTACAGTTTGCCCTACAACCCCAAAACTGGCGATACAGGCAATGGAGAACTGTTCTGTTCACAGTTGAGAGTCGGTACTGCTTATCAACTGCAGATGGGAGAACAAGAATATGGCGACGACGTGGCCAGCATTACTCAGACCAATGTGTTATGGAAAGAGACTCATGGGGAGGTGAAAGCATCATTGTATGGGGTGGAATAGGCCTGAACCAGAGAGTGGGTCTTGTGGTGTTCCAGAACCTTGGTCCAGGGAGAGGATGCGCCATCACAGCGGTGCACTACATCGACCAAGCTCTCAGACACCATTTCGCATGCCACCAGAACAACATTTCCCAGCATGATAATGCCTCGGCCCATACTGCCAGAGCTACACGGGACTTCCTACAGCAAAACAGTGTCAAGATTATCTTGGGGATGAAATTCAGAGGAGACTGAATAATGTAACATCAAGGCCAAACAGACGATTTCCTGGGACAGGCCTTTCTCAAAGTATGGTTCCAGGTGCCAGTGGCCTTCATCAATCGATTGGTGCACTCCATGCATAGAAGCTGTGCTGCAGTTATTGCCGCTCATGGTGGTCACACTAGATACTGAAGTCAAGAGTCTGAATGGACTCCAAACGTTCGCGTAATGTCTTGAAATTGTGGTGAGTTATTTATTCATTGATGTGTCCAGATATTGTACACAAAAAATGATTTTGACCTGCTTGTTATGTCCATTTCTGTAATGATTTGATTACAGTGCCTATCTAATTTTGAATTCGTACTGACGTTTTTTTGTGGATGAGTATATTACATACATCCATGGTATTATTTATATGTGGTGATTTGTATAGACTGGATTTAATATGTATTGTATGTTGTAAACATTGCATCATGTACTTGATACCATACCCGTGATGTACCACGTGTCTAAGTCTTGATGTATGGTGTATGACACGATACCATAGCAGATTCACATTGTTCACCAATTGTTTCAGGGTTTTATGTATAAGGAGGACATTGGTGGATTCGTCCCAATGTAATAAAGATGCCGTCAACTCACACCCCGTAGCCTGTGGTTATCATTAGGGAGTCCGTACTTAGTTCTGTGTTTCTCATCGCCTGACTCTTCCAAGATTGGGGCGGACGAGAAAAAAAAGGCCAAAAAAAAAAAATACTATTCAATATTCAAATATGAATGTATACTCACCTTTTGCATTGAGAATCATGGAAAAGACAATACAGTTTGACACTAAGTTCCCTACCAGTGTGTATGTTCACTGGTAGGGAACTTGGCCACAGTAAGAGTGGAGTCTTTGTGATTTTAGCGACAGAAACTTTATGAGATTTGAGAGTTTTTGTGATTTGTCACAGTCTTTGCAATGATATGTGTTATAATCAGATTAAATGGTAATTATAGCTTTAGTTTGTGGTATTAAAGACTATCATTTTCCTAAACAACACATAATATCATCTTGCAACTTTATAATATACTTAAATAAATATAACAATAGCATAGATATAATTTTGATCATAACTTGCAATGAAAGTCATGGTAGATAAATGATGACTGTCAATCATAAATAGACTTCAAAATGAAAAGTGTTGTCTCATGTAACGCAATGTGTGAATAAACACTACAGGCTTGAGGAACAGACTGTAGTGTTACATCCCTGTTCCTGTGGTGATTTATGGCTATTTTTATCCCATTAGTGGATTCATTACATTGGTTTTTATTGAACTATATATTTCTGGAATATTCTAAGCATAGAGAAAACTATGCCTACAGGACATTTATTGTACCTTACCCTCACCTTACAGATGCTAAGATCACAAAGACTCTGTCTCAAATAATAACATTTCTGTCGCAAAAATCACAAAGACTCCACTCTCCTGTAACCAAGTTCCCTACCAATGATACACCATATTGTGGAGTTGACCTCCATATTTGCTCGTGAATATCGCGAACTCCTAACATTGCCGGATCGTAAATATCAGTGGATGTGAATCCTAAATCGTGACAGGGAGTACAGATGCAAGAGTTGCTTCCATTTAAATACCTGCTGAAGATTCGTTTCATTTTCCAATGAAATTTAATACATTTCTAACTCAGTTTTAATTTTTTCTTGCAGTGAAACATTTTTTTTTCAATGGGCGGTGCACAATTGAGAATGGTCGGCGCAAAGTTTAGAAAAAAAGAAGTTGTTTTATTGTATAGGCAGGTGGGATTTTTACGGGCGGCAGGAGATGAGAAACACAGAATTAAATATGGACGCCCCTACGGAAGAACCCCAAATTCCATGCTACTACAATAGGGACCCATGGCAGCATTTGTCCCTGGCACGATATTGCACAAGAGATGCCTAAACTGAGTATCGGTGACACTTCCGTGTTTGAACTGGCTAATGCAAACCAATGCTTGTTGTAATATGACTTAATGAATTGGGTGCTCCCGAACATGCTCAGGAATTCTCTCTCTTGCTGACTCGTGAAGATCTGTGTCAGAATTGATCTTCAGTAACCCATGTTTGTCGAAAGAGGCGATCTGGTGGTCAGGCTCACTTACTTGGTTGACACATGTCATCGTATCCCAGTTGTGTAGATCAATGCTCATGCTGTTGATCACTGGATTGTCTGGTGCAGACCTGATTATTTACAGACCGCCGCCGCCATATAGCTGGAATATTGCTGAGTGCTGCGTTAAACAACCAACCAACCAAAGCATTTGACTTCATAAAACCAAATAACCATCAAAGCCTTTAACATTTGATTTTTTCACTTTTCATCTTTCTGAACCAGTTAATGCCTAATGGAACAGCAAACTTTTAAAAAAAATGGATGACATGTGGAGATAACTCTGCTGTGACAGTTTGGTTCTACTCACACAGAGGCACACATGAGCATGGCCTGCGACTCGATCCCTCGCATCTTCTGAGGCTTCAGGTTGCACAGGAACACACCGAGCCTGTCCTTCAGGTCTTCCATGGGGTAGAGTCCTGCCAGACCGCTGATCACCGTCCGTGTTGATCCCTCCTCCCCCCAGGTCCACGGTCTCCATGTACAGACTGTCGGCATCTGGGTGCTGCAGATCACAAGTGAGCGACTCAATAAACCAATACAGGAAATCAATTCAAAATGTGGAGGTGTGTGGGCTTGTGCATAGAGCCCAGGGGCTTCTTTCATGAAGCAACCTTAACTCCCATTCTTTAACATTGCACTAAGGTTACCTTAGTGACTTACGGTCACCTTAGTGCTTTGTGAAAGGAGGCCCAAGTCACAAATCGGTTGAAGTTAGTGAGTGAGTATGGTTTTATGCAGCAATATTCCAGCAATATCATGGCGAGGGACACCAGAAATGGGCGGTGGGGTAGCCCAGGGGTTAAAGCGTCCGCTTGTCACGCTGAAGACCCGGGTTCGATCTCCACCCGGGTGCAATGTGTGAAGCCCATGTCTGGTGTTCCCTGACGTGATATTGCTGGAATATTGATAAAAGCGGTATGAAACTATAACTCACTCACTCATTAAAAGGATCGATTAAGGAGGTTTGAATACTATAAACTTTGATACCTTGCAGACTTCAGTGATTCTGCCGACCCTCAGGTCGAGCCTGGAGGGGATGATTTCCTCTGCCTGCTGGGATGCTGCCCCTCCCGGTCCCTCTGTAACACAATCACCTCACATGTACACACGGACTATAGTCTGTTTGCAGTGAAAACGTGCCGATGAACTTCACTTTAAACAAAAAAGTAAATCGAATAAAGTGAAATTAAGATGATGAATCCTCATAATGTTACCTTGGCAATTGAACATTTAAATCTCAGAATTTTATTCAACTGAGGATAAAAGTTGTTTAACACACGATCATAGTTTCAAATCGCTATTATTGGTTTGTATTACAAGGGGGTATGCACATTAAATGAAACACCTAGAACAAGTAGGTTTGGTCTAAGTTAACGCTCATCACGTACCGCACCTGCATTTGTTTCAACTACTACACTTACCCCCTTGTAATACAACCCAATAATAGCGATTTGAATCTATGATCGTTTGTAATAACCATTCATGTTTGTATCTTTTATTCATATATGTCTTTTACAGATACCATATCACAGTCTTTATTTTGGAAAAGATGGATTTACAATATGTTGATAAAGGACTGTGGATTCATGACAGTTTGAATGGCAAAGTGAACACAATTACATCACAGACATCCCTGAGCTCACTCCAGAGGTACAGATAAGTTGCTTCTTTGCGTACATTACGCAAATATTTATGTGAAAACTCAATTCCTATTAAGTCTATTGGATACAAGTACACTTGCTTTTTGGTAAATACTCAATAAATTTGATCTTACATGCGTACACACAAAAATGTCAAACCTTAGATTGCATACAGGTGGACAGATAAAGTAACTGAAGTACACTGAGAGGTTCTATTTCAGCTCATGAACTTGGCAACTTGCAGTCGTTCTTATCGTTTCTCATATAACAGATCAACTATAAATAACAACCATGTAAACCAACATTTAAACTTTGTTATATTTTTACAATTATTGGAAAATGGCAAAATAACCAATTGAGTTTGAGTGAGGTGGGTACAGTTTATTTGGTTACTCAAATGACAATAAGGATACCCAACTGAGATGAACACAAGCGAGTACACAACTCAATGACACAAAAAGTAGCTCGGCTCACTCCCAGACATAAATAAGAGGCATTTGACTACATATGGTCCTCACAGATTAATCTTGGAGTAGATGTCTACAGAAATTAATCTCACTTGTTTTGACAACTGGGTAAGCCTTGGCTGTGATCTTCTTGAGTTCGGGGGATTCGAAGTCCTTCCTGATGGGCTCCAGCAACCGGTTGAGGTAGACCTCCACTGCTGCCTTCAGGTCTCCAGGGTGCAGCTCCTGGACAACACACAGATGAGTTGGGCAGTGATAAATAATATTACAGTGTGTCAGCTTGTGGAGGAATGTCAACATTTGATAAATGTTTATAATGAGTGAGTGATATTCAGCAATATTCCAGCTTTATGGCGGCGGTTTGTATATAATCGAGTCTGGACCAGACAATCCAGTGATCAACAGCATGAGCATCGATCTGCGCAATTGGGAACCGATGACATGTGTCAACCAAGCCAGCGAGCCTGACCACCCGATCTCGTTAGTCGCCTCTTACGACAAACATGGGTTACTGAAGACCAGTATTCTAACCCGGACCTTCACGGGTGCCATTGGATGACAGATCACTTCCATGAACATTAGTGTATGAGAGACACCTTTACACTAATCTATACCTCCACATTTCTGGGAATTCTCTAGAATCAATAAATGTTTGTGACAATGTGAAATATTTATGGAAGAATTCACTTTGTAATGCACACTGGCATTCCATCCTACTGAAAACAATGTAGAAATGAACACCCAAAGTTCTGATCTTGACCCAGTCAGGAATAACACTCACAGTCTGCTGCAATCTACAAATTTTCAGACTTTTTGACAAATTTTTATATTCTAAATTCAATTTTCATAGGCCTACTATTTAAGGATGTAATCACCACCAGTTCATTTCAGTTTAGGGAGGGTCATTCCATGCTTCTCCATCATCACAAATCCTAGCCATAAATTATGAACATGCCCTTACTAGGATATTCACATATCGCCTTCATTGTCCATCATAACATAGTTTCCCGGATCTCACTATCATCAGCCAATATTGTTCTTTCTATAGCTACTAATAAAAACAATTACCTTATGTTATCGTTCTGTGAAGTAAAACTCATGCGACACCAATTTCTCAAACAGTATTGTCATTACCTCTTTTTTCTAAACGCTTCCTCTAAATCCACATATTTTGTAAATATCCTGCTGCCTCCAAATTCTTCTGACCTTTCAACCTTAAATTCTGTAACAGAAATACTTTAACATTACATTGATTGATCGGTTTGATGTTTAATGTCGCACTCAGCAATATTCCAGCTATATGGCGGCGGTCTGTAAATAATCGAGTTTGTACCAGATAATCCAGTGATCGACAGCACCAGCATCGATCTAAACAATTAGGATACGAGGATGTGTGTCAGCCATGTCAGTGAGCCTGACCACCCGATCCCATTAGTTACTTCCTACGACAAGAATGGGTTACTGAAGACCAATTCTATGCAAGATCTTCACAGGTACTTTAATATTTGAAACAAATTTTGGATTCACCTATTGTTGATGCATGAGACAATACAGTGTTCTGTAAATAATCAAGTCTGGTCCAGACTGACTGACTGAGTTTTGGTTTTACGCCGCTTTTAGCAGTATTCCAGCAACATCACGGCGGGGGGACACCAGAAATAGGCTTCACACATTGTACCCATCTAGGGATTTGAACCCAGGTCTTCAGCGTGACGAGCCAACGCTTTAACCATTAGGCTACCCCACCGCCCCAGTCTGGTCCAGAGAAATCTGTGATCAATATGACTGACTGAGTTTGGTTTTACGCCGCTTTTAGCAATATTCCAGCAACATCACGGCGGGGGACACCAGATATGGGCTTCACACATTGTACCCATGTTGGGATTCAAACCCGGGTCTTCGGCGTGACGAGCCAACGCTTTAACCATTAGGCTACCCCACCGCCCCCGTGATCAATATGAGCTTGGGGTATGATGAGTGAGTGAATGTTTTATGCCGCTTTTAGCAATATTCCAGCAATATCACAGAGGACACCAGAAATACATTGTACCCATGTAGGGAATCAAACACTGGTGTTTTGTGTGACAAGCGAACACTGTAACTACTGGGCTACCCAACCGCCTTGAGAGATATGGAGATGTGACGGGATAACTATCAATGACTGGACATACCTCCATCTGTGCTGAGTGGGAAGAGGACAAACTTGCAGAAGGAGAGGAGGCCATTGTCCGTGATGTTCCCCGGCTCACAGAATGCCTTCTTTAATTTCTTCTTGACTTGAGCTGGAGAGTCTAGGAGGTCAATCTTAGAATCGGGGTCGGACGAACTCATCTTGGATCCCGTCAGACCAGGAACTGCAAATATAATGGCACACTGGTTACTATGGTTACTTTGGTTCTGACTACTGACATCCAGAGATGAGTTGATGCACTGACTTACAAGCATTGAGCAATGTCTAGTAATCTAGTAAGTGACCGAGCTTCAGGTATTGTACTTACCCATTGGGTTCATGAAGTGCATCCTCTTCTTATAGCCTAAGTGTGGGAGGTACTGCAAGACACCAGATGTTTGAATTACCTCCCTTTGTCACATTGTGTGTACCAAACGTTACATGATACAGCTACAATACAACTTTACAAAGACATCGTACTTCAGGATTTGTGCTGACTTCTCAATATCTTTCAAACAGTAAACAGTCATTATAAATCTTTTCACAAACTCGTCACGCAGGACTTTATTACCTTTTCTGCAAATGTGAAGATTTTCCTCTGATCTACACCACCAAACTGTATGTCAACCTTCAGGTATTCTTCATCAAGTGCCTGGAACACGGGATCAGAAATGGACAAAATTATTATCACATCTGACACATGTCAATTTAATCACTAGATACCCGCAACCCACCTGCAACCCATGACATACCTGCTCTACAACACTCTACAACCCATGTCACACCTACTTTACAACCCATGTCACACCCACTCTACAACCCACGTCATACCCACTCTACAACCAATGTCGCACTCACTCTACATCCCATGTCACACCCACTCTACATCCCATGCCACATCCACTCTACATCCCATGTCACATCCACCCTACATCCCATGTCACACCCACTCTACAACCCATGACTCACCCACTCTACAACCCATGTCACACCCACTCTACCACCCTACATCCCATGTCACACCCACTCTACATCCCATGTCACACCCACTCTACAACCCATGACACACCCACTCTACAACCCATGACTCACCCACTCTACAACCCATGTCACACCCACTCTACAACCCATGACTCACCCACTCTACAACCCATGTCACACCCACTCTATAACCCATGTCACACCCGCTCTACAACCCATGTCACACCCACTCTACAACCCATGTCACACCCACTCTACAACCCACGTCACACCCACTCTACAACCCATGTCACACCCACTCTATAACCCATGTCACACCCACTCTACAACGCATGTCACACCCACTCTACAACCCATGACTCACCCACTCTACAACCAATGACACACCTACTCTACAACCCATGTCACACCCACTCTACAACCCATGTCACACCTACTCTACAACCCACTCTACATCCCATGCCACATCCGCTCCACAACCCATGTCACACCCACTCCACTACCCATGCCAGACCTACTCTACATCCCATGCCACACCTACTCTACATCCCATGTCACACCCACTCCACAACCACTCTACAACCCATGTCACACCTACTCTACAACCCATGTCACACCCACTCTACATCCCATGCCACATCCGCTCCACAACCCATGTCACACCCACTCCACAACCCATGCCACACCCACTCTACATCCCATGCCACACCCACTCTACATCCCATGTCACACCCACTCTACAACCCATGTCACACCCACTCCACAACCCATGCCACACCCACTCTACATCCCATGCCACACCCACTCTACATCCCATGCCACACCTACTCTACAACCCATGTCACACCCACTCCACAACCCATGCCACACCCACTCTACAACCCACGACACACCCACTCTACAACCCATGCCACACCCACTCTACATCCCATGTCACACCCACTCCACAACCCACGTCACACCCACTCTACAGCCCATGACTCACCCACTCTACAACCCATGACACACCCACTCTGCAACCCATGTCACACCTACTCTACAACCCATGACACACCCACTCTACAACCCATGACACACCCACTCTACAACCCATGTCACACCTACTTTACAACCCATGTCACACCTACTCTACAACCCATGTCACACCCACTCTACAACCCATGTCACACCCACTCTACAACCCATGTCACACCTACTCTACAACCCATGTCACACCCACTCTACAACCCATGTCACACCTACTCTACAACCCATGACACACCCACTCTACAACCCATGTCACACCTACTTTACAACCCATGTCATACCTACTCTACAACCCATGTCACACCTACTCTACAACCCATGACACACCCACTCTACAACCCATGTCACACCTACTTTACAACCCATGTCACACCTACTCTAAAACCCATGTCACACCTACCTGCAGTCCAGGGTACAGCAGTCCACTCAAGAGGGGATGATCCACCTGCTTGACCACCTCGGCGCCAGCCTTCTTGGCATCATGTTCTGTGACTAGTGATGACAACTTGTACACATCCAATGTGTATTCTCTGAAAGATACATACTCATTACAGGCAACTGAGGGTGCAACTGGCTTGGATGTATTCAATATCTTCATAATAATAATAAATTAATAAATTATGCATTTATATAGCGCATCTTATCCAGATATAATCCTGCTCAAGAGCGCTCAAATAATATCTAACACAATCACAAACAACAAGACATTTAACAAATAGAAGTTCAATTTCATAAAATATATGGATGGAATAAATAAACTTGTCAGAAAAAATGAATCTACATGTTGTCTTCGGAAAATATTGATCACCAATGTCCATCTCACCATTGTAAACAAGGCACTTTGCCCACTGGTAAAAAATGCTTTGTGTCATCAACTATTAAAGGAACCCTGAACGCTAGACGAATGTAAGGCTAGTGGGAGTTCTGTGTTTTATTGTTACACCTGCGATTGTTTCAGATTAATTTACATCCCTTCCACTAACAGCTCTGTGTTGTTTTCATGATAAATATGACCATTCATGAAGACAATGTTTGGAGACAAGTTTTCAAGTGGCCTGAATGAACAAAGAGTAGTTCTGAACCTATATGGCTAACAATTTGAGGACGAAGTCCGAGGTCAATATTGCTTTTCGCGGGTCCATAAAAACATGTATTGACCGAAATCACCAGTCCATAATTGTTTTTTTATGTAATTACCGATAAAAAAAAGCTTCTAAAAACCAAAACATGTCCATTTAGCCAAGAAAAGTCTTTTTATTTTCACTACAAACCAGTAACGTTATGTCAACAATACTGTGACATGTAAATAATAGAATCTAGTTTTAGTAACTCAAGTCAATATGACTTTTGGTCGGACCTGGGTTGGAGTGAATATGCTTTTCTGTCGACAGTCACGTGACTGCATCTAGGCCAATCAGGTAGCCAGAAAAATATGCTTACATATATGCTAGCCATATGGTGGTGGTTTGTAATTAATCAAGTCTGGATCAGGCAATACAGTGATCAGTGATTGACATCATGAGCACTCATCTACATAATTGGGACACAATGACATGCATCAATCAAATTAGTCAGCCTGACCACCGATGCTATTAGTCACCTCTTACAATGCTGAAAACAAATTCCACCAGTGAAGATCCACGTTAGAATTATTCTTCAGTAACCCATGCTTATCGTAAGAGGTGACTAACAGGATTGGGTTGTCAGGCTCGCTGACTTGGTTGACACATGTCATCGTGTTCCAACTGTGTACATTGATACTCATGATGTTGATCACTGGATTGTATGGTCCAGCTTGTTTCTGGACCGCTGCTGTCAAGCTGGAATATTGCTAAGAGCAGTTTTAAACAACAAACAAAGAAGAAAACCAACACAATATGAAAAGTGAATGTGTTTGAAAATCGCTGTTTTCAGCAATATCACAGATAAGGACTCCAGGAATGGGTTCACATACTGTATCCATGTGGGGAATCGAACCTGGGTCTTCGACAAACTCTTTAACCATTAGGCTACCCCACCGCCCCTCTAACACAATGGTCACAATATGGCTGAAATATTGCCGACGTGACGTTAAATATTAACTCACTCACTCACTCTAACACAATGAATCTTACTTGCTGAGCTGGTATTCTGTCCCTTGCACAAACTTGAGCTTGTCGAGCGGTACGCCGATGGAACGCAGCATGGCCTTGATCACATGCTCGTAGTACTTGACCCGCTGCTGCAGCAGCTCCCAGGGAGCCTTCATGTTGTCTAGGTAGGCGTGCAGGTCGGCAAACAGGATCGTCACCTGGCGGAGGAGAAACATGCAGGTGAAGGCTCTGGTTTAACATGGCAGGGGAGAAACATGCAGGTCAAGGCTCTGGTTTAACATGGCAGGGGAGAAACACGCAGGTTAAGGCTCTTGTTTAAAATGGTGGGGGAGTAACACGCAGGTGAAGGCTCTTGTTTAAAATGGCAGGGGAGTAACATGCAGGTGAAGGCTCTTGTTTAAACCGGCAGGGGAGAAACACGCAGGTGAAGGCTCTGGTTTAAAATGGCGGGGAGTAACATGCAGGTGAAGGCTCTTGTTTAAAATGGCAGGGGAGTAACACGCAGGTGAAGGCTCTGGTTTAAATGGCAGGAGAAACATGCAGGTCAAGGCTCTGGTTTAAAATGGTGGGGGAGAAACACGCAGGTGAATGCTCTTGTTTAAAATGGCGGGGAGTAACACGCAGGTGAAGGCTCTGGTTTAAAATGGCAGGGGAGAATCACGCAGGTGAAGGCTCTGGTTTAAAATGGCGGGGAGTAACATGCAGGTGAAGGCTCTGGTTTAAATGGCAGGAGAAACATGCAGGTCAAGGCTCTGGTTTAAAATGGCGGGGAGTAACATGCAGGTGAAGGCTCTGGTTTAAATGGCAGGAGAAACATGCAGGTCAAGGCCCTGGTTTAAAATGGCGGGGAGTAACATGCAGGTCAAGGCTCTGGTTTAAATGGCAGGGCAGTAACATGCAGGTCAAGGCTCTGGTTTAAATGGCGGGGGAGAAACATGCAGGTCAAGGGTCAAGGCCCTGGTTTAAATGGAAAGGCAGTAACACGCAGGTCAAGGCTCTGGTTTAAATGGCAGGGCAGTAACACGCAGGTCAAGGCTCTGGTTTAAAATGGTGGGGGAGAAACATGCAGGTCAAGGCCCTGGTTTAAATGGCAGGGCAGTAACACGCAGGTCAAGGCTCTGGTTTAAAATGGCAGGGCAGTAACACGCAGGTCAAGGCTCTGGTTTAAAATGGTGGGGAGAAACACGCAGGTCAAGGCTCTGGTTTAAAATGGTGGGGAGAAACATGCAGGTCAAGGCTCTGGTTTAAAATGGTGGGGAGTAACATGCAGGTCAAGGCTCTGGTTTAAATGGCAGGGCAGTAACACGCAGGTCAAGGCTCTGGTTTAAAATGGTGGGGAGTAACATGCAGGTGAAGGCTCTGGTTTCAAATGGTGGGGAGAAACACACAGGTCAAGGCTCTGGTTTAAATGGCGGGAGTAACATGCAGGTCAAGGCTCTGGTTTCAAATGGTGGGGAGTAACATGCAGGTGAAGGCTCTGGTTTAAATGGTGGGGAGAAACACGCAGGTCAAGCCTCTGGTTTCAAATGGTGGGGAGTAACACGCAGGTCAAGGCTCTGGTTTAAATGGCAGGGAGAAACACGCAGGTCAAGCCTCTGGTTTCAAATGGTGGGGAGTAAGATGCAGGTCAAGGCTCTGGTTTAAACGGCGGGGAGTAACATGCACGTCAAGGCTCTGGTTTAAATGGCGGGGAGTAACACGCAGGTCAAGGCTCTGGTTTAAATGGCGGGGAGTAACATGCAGGTCAAGGCTCTGGTTTAAAATGGTGGGGAGTAACACACAGGTCAAGGCTCTGGTTTAAATGGCGGGGAGTAACATGCATGTCAAGGCTTGATCTGAGTCCGGTTGAGAATGAGTAAGTATGTTTTCCATGATGACTTTAGCGAAATTCCAGTCATATTACAACAGGGACACAAGAAATGGCTATTGTCCCTATGAGACACAGCCATGTTACAATGTTCATGGTGGCCTAGACATGCCATATAACCCGGTTACAACAGACAATACCTTCAAGACAGATGACTTAGACATTCCATGATATCATGGTTACAATGGACAATACCAACCTCTGCCCCGGCCCTGAGGAAGTCAGCCACCTTTGACATGGGCACAAAGTAGCCGACATGCGGCTTGCCCGTTGTTGCTGTGCCCCAGTAGATCTTCACATCCCTTTCCTTCAACAATGGCAGCAAGCGATCCTCCCCAAGAACTTCCTGCCAGAACGAAAAACAGTATTGTTGACCAAGACAAAGGAATTATTACTTCAAGAAAGAGTTCTATTGGTGTGAGTGAATGCTGTTCAGAGCTCCAGATCGATTTAGCTCATGTGGGTACTGTACCCACTGTATTTTTTTGGAGTGGGTATTATGAATGTTGAGTGGGTATTTCATTTTCTGTTACCCACTGCATTCAAATATGTGCGTATTTCAGTCATTTTACTCACCTAAGTATTACGTCATTGAGTAAATTTACTAAGCAGGTATGTTCTGCCCTTATGTTAAACCTAATCAAAACCAACTTAAATATAATGGAAATGATTTCATAAAAAAATCACTCATCCTATACTGACAGTACAACACTTGTCCTATACTAACAGTACAACTTGATAGCAATCGATGTCTTTTTCATTACGCAAGCGATTTTTATAAATATATTCTGTACGCATTTGTCTTAAACTTTTTGCGTATCTAACATTTTAAATGCGTAACTGGTACACAACAATTATTTTTTAATGCATAACTGGAAATTTTCTATGCGTATTTTACCCCGGATACGCAGCTTATCTGGGCCTCTGGCTGTTCATGTACTGACCATGTTGAGTGTGACTGAGTTTGTAGGTGAAGTCACTTAAAATAGCTAGTAGTATTTCAGTTATATAATCAAGAGTGGGAATTTAATGCGAGATGACAATTGATTTGGTTTGCTTTGGCGTTTTACGCCACACTCAGCAATATTCCAGCTATATGGCAGCGATCTGTAAATAATCGAGTCTGGAGCAGACAATCCAGTGATCAATAGCATAAGCATCAATGTACGCATCAGTTCGGATACGATGACATGTGTCAACGAAGTCAGCGAGTCTGACCACCCGATCTTGTTAGTGGCTTCTTACGACAAGCATGGATTACCGGATCTTCACAAGTCAAGATGAACATGTCTAAATCAATGAGCTCTGGTAAGGCTCTGACAAACCACGGATGATAATAAGAATCTCAGATCCAAACCATGACCACCAAATCCTAACTCAACTAAGGGAGACAACTTTGCGAACTGCAGCAGTTTAAACCCACAGCTGTACTAAGCTTGGCTAATCTTCAGTATGGCACACCTGTAGATTCCTCTTGAGCAGGTCAAGCTTCTCCTCAGGACTCCTGTTGTCAGTCTGGTTCTCCATGATGGCAGGTCCACTTCCAGGTCACTATAAACAAATACACACTGCTTACATGTATACATGCATGTTGTATTAATGCACAGTGTGTTACATGCACACTGCACTAATGCATACTTTCTTGCATGCATGTATTACATGTGACATGCCTGTTGTACTAATGCACACTGTACTAATACATACCATACTAATGTACACTGTACAACATACATACTACATTATTCCAGACTGTCTTTACTCTATTTTCTAAGAGTGTAAGCGACGTCACGATGCATGTCAGTTGTCACTGCTCCTACGGCCTCCTACAGTAAACTACTCCGTTGCATCCCGTTTCTTGGTTTGCAGTTACTTCACGCAGCTAACATCACTGGTGGAAACATTACGTTTGTGTTTTATGACGGTTAAAATGTGTCAATTCGACTCATAAGTTTTCAGCGACACGGTAACGTTCGCAATGTTTACATTCCCACAATGCAATCGTGGAATGTCGCTTGACTACTCAGCTTCATCTGGATGTACTGATCTAAACTTACATTGGTAGTAGAAATGCGACGTTCATATTGCCCCATATGGTTTACGTTAATGACAGATGTAATTAAAATAATTCAGAGAAGATATTTAATCCGAACATAAACTGTCATCAAACTGTTATCATTTGTTTTTTTTGTGCTAATGTTCGTCTTAACATAGGGGGCAGACACATCAATAGAACAGCGCGCCAGTTAGCCCTGTGCGAGGATTCTTAATTTAGGTCACTGACACCGTCGCTTGTTTTTGCTTTAAATTAATCGTAATTATCCTTAGAAAGTATTAAATTTGGCATCTTAGAAAAGAAATACAGTTCGCTCTACCACCATGTATAGTGGGAATACATATTTGGTGCGAATACATACGAATACGCATGCGTCCTCGTACTTTAACTATAATAGTTCAGGGCGAAAGTGTGTTTTATTACACTATACATGGTGGTAGAGTGAACTGTATTTCTTAAACATGCATACTTTATAAATGTAAACTGTATTACATGCACACATTATTAATGTAAACTGTATTACATGCATATTGCACAATATAACAAGCACATAATGCTACCCTTTCAAAAACATTGATTGACAAAATGGCAGTTATGCAGAAGTGTTTTTGTATTGTACCAACAACAAAACGGCCATACATTTTTACTTTTGTACAAATTGTAGATAAGTAATGATAACTTAGTTCCCAACGCAATGCAACTGTTTTGCCAATTAGTGTTGGGAATTGGTTAAAATCTCACAATTGATGATTGGTTCATTACAACCGATCAATCATCGAAAAATAATTGGTTAGCATTTATCAAATTTGCATGGTTATGTTTGTTAATACACAAAAAATATAGAAAAAACATATAGTTTTGTGTGGTTTTTTTTGCAAATTGCACAAAATGCATTTACAAATTTCACATCTTAAAGGATGACTAGTATGTTAGGAACATAAATTTCCTGGAGTCGTTAAGATAAATTCAATCATGACAAGGAACGAGCTGGTAGTGCTTATGAAATGGTCGTTTAGTCATTGCGACCAATGTTCGATTATTTCAATTAATCGGACCACCATTATTGCCAATGCACAGCCCTATGTCATTCTCTTCCCACAGAGGTTACTCCTGTCATATCTTCCTACGTAACCTCTGTTCTAATACGGCCCTTTCATGGTGTGAGCGTTCAAGACTCGTGATTGGAGGCAATCAGATTTAGTTGTGCAATCAGCGACGTTGTTTCAAAAGTGATCATTCGCAAGGCCTAGGTAATTTCCGTATACTTCGAGAAAACTAAACCTCTTCCCCTGCGCGATGCGCAAACGTTTCTTCTAGACAGAACTCAGTCATGTTATGGCGGATCAGTGGCGTTTCCATCGCCCTCGTTGACAACGGACAAGCTAGCTATTAAACGTCTTGTGTGTAACATCAACACATAAGTCCCCGGCAGATGGGGGATATTTGTGGCCTCACATTTGCTTGTGTTAGTCAAGCTGAATCTAAGTCGATGTAACACGTTTTCTGATTGGATAGAAAGAAGGGAGATAATTCGTGTTCCGATATTTTGCCGCTAGGGGATTTTACGAGAACCGTGAAATATGGCCGTATTAGAACAGAGGTTCGTAGGAAGATATGACAAGTAACCTCTGTGGGAAGAGAATGAGCCCTATGTATGCGGGACACTTCTGACAACACTAGGCTTTTAACTGCTACTCCCAGGAACCTCATCATGACAGATGAAGACAGAGCATGGCATGACTCGGTGATGGAGGGCATGCCACTGTAACTCAACTACAAGATAGTCTTGTCCAGATTCAATTATTTACCACCTTCTGTCCCAATTGTGCATTTTGTTTGTATTTTGTTGACAGCACAGTCATACCTGTTGACAAGCAGCAGACTAAACAAGATGAAATGAAGCCCAGAATCCCCAGCATGGGCAACATTTACAGTCTCTGTCTAGACGTAGACAGTGCTACATGTGGAAGTAACACATTTTTATGATCTAGTATCATAATTAACATAATTAGCATGATTAGCTGGTGATAAATTAACCCACGTCATAAATGTTGAGTTTCATGAATAAATACCACAGTAATTTACAGTCTACATTAGTAATTCACACACCTAATGTAAACAGGTGATAGTCTTGCCCTTCATAATATCGGTGTCTTCTTAGGAAAAGATTTAAAATGAAGAAAAACTAAACATCTTTACCTGAAGATTTACAAAAATACAAACATTAAAGTTTTTAACATAACATATTTTTCTAATTTCCCTGCAAAAGGCACTTTGTTTGGAATGGTATATAAATCCCTGATCACTTTTTCCTGAATGAAACTGTTATTTAGCATGCATGATTTATCATGCTCTATTTATATGATTAATATGTAATAATATGCTGGAGGCCTGTTACTGAATAAGTGTCTCTCTGTTGTGCTATGTCTGTCTGAATAACATACTCTGGTTCAAGCTTGCTTAGTGTTGTTAGGACTTCAGTTTGACCAATCTCAGTCAACACGGGATGGTGGTTGAAGCGTTCACTTGTCACATCAAAGACCCAGGTTCGATTCCCCACAAGGGTACAATGTGTGAAGCCCGTTTCTGGTGTCCTCTGCCGTGATATTGCTAAAAGCGTCGTAAGACCATACTCACTCACTCTAAGTGAATATGATCAGGTCTTTGATGGGTGAGTGAGTGATTTGAGTTTTATGCCGCTTTTAGCAATATTCCAGCAATATCACGGCGGGGGACACCGGAAATGGGCTTCACACATTGTACCCATGTGGGGAATCGAACCTGGGTCTTTGATGTGACAAGCGAATGCTTCAGCCACTAGACTACCCCACCGCCAGTCTTTGATGGGAAATGTGACATTGATTTTATTGTTTGACTCAGCTATTGATGGCAGTCTGTAAATAATCCAGTCTGGGCCTGACAATCCACTGATCAACAGCATGAGCATTGATCTACGCAATTGGGATACGATGACATGTGTCAACCAAGTCAGCGAGCCTGACCACCCGATCCCGTTAGTCGCCTCCTACGACAAGCATGGGTTGCTGAAGACCAATTCTGACCCGGATCTTCATGGAGCGTTCAGTTGTGAGATGATATTAACATGATCAATAGTTCATTGTAGCATTCATAGCAGGGCATCACTGGGCAGATCTGGAGTCTCTGTTTGTGCAGCAGGCCCAACCCCAGGCCTGAGTAAATAAGTAATATTATATCCTATGATAAGCAGAGAAAAGATGATAGATTTAATCGAATGAGTACAGTACAGTATACTATACCATTTTATTATTTGACAGACCATTTCTACAAGTGACTGAGGTACCAAATTCTCTCTAAGAAATATAAAGTTCTGTAATAAATTTGATTAAATTCACCTTACATTACAGTACACTATTTCATCACTTTACTAGACCCATAAATTTCCTATAAGGACCCGTGAAATTAGCATTTGGGGGTCCTCTTGACCCTCAGCTCTGTGGGGCCAGATAAACCCTGTAGTGAGTGATTCTCTGATTAGATCTTATGCCACTTTTAGCAATATTCCAGCAATATGATGGATGCCAAAAATGGACTTCACACACTGTACCGACAAGGGTAATTTTTGGTGAGATGAGCAAAAGCTTCAGACACTTGGCTGCCCCACCACCCCAGTTACTGGTACTAACAACACATATAGGTTATTGTCATACTTCTGGAACATGTCAGTTGATCAAGTAAAACATTAGCATGAGGTGTAGAGTCCTAAAGTGTCAGTTACCATGATGATGCCATTGTCCGTGCATCACGCATCTCAAACATGCATATGGGAGACAGCTGTGGTAAAACATCAAGCATAGACATTTTCAGGCCCTGACTGTGCTGATATAATGTACAGTCATTACTAAATATGCTACTCTGAACGCAGTAACAGGGCTCGATTTAGTGCTTTGTACATTCACTGGTGCAACCCAATATTACAAAGTGCAACCTAGTTATTAGTCTTACTTGCACCAGGTGCAAGTTAATTTTTGAGAAATAAATCAACAATAAGTCTAACATTATATGAACAGTATATAACTATGTCAGCTAATTTTTCTTCAAAACTTTGAATAATTCAATAGCATAATTCTTTCTTTACATATGTCTAAAAAAAGCAGTGCAACTGGTGCAAGTAGGTTAACGTCTCTTAAATCGAGCCCTGAGTATCTAAGTCACCAGTAGAGGATGTAAAGTGTATGCAAGATGGTCCCCTGTTACGTGTACAAGTGACTACCTGAGAGGGGGGCACTCATCACGTGACTGCTTGACCACGGACAGGGAAATTCTGCATGTCACACAAAAACGCGTCTAAAAGTGCTATTTATGACAATAATGAAACAAAAACTTGGTGCAGTCAGTGATAATTGTTCAAGTTATTGAATGACATGCATGAAATCGTAAAAAGAAAAATCAAACACACCTGTAGTAAAATGTTTACAAAAAAGTACAAAATTTCAGCAAATTTGACGATTTTTGATAG